TGCCAGCGATAACCTGAGAAGATCAAAGCGGCTGCAGCGTGAGGAGCTGGCTGAAGCAGTTGCTGTCCACCTCCTCCATGACCTCAGGGCATGATGGGAAACACATGACTCTCATCTGATCAAAGAGCTGATTAGTTCAGATGTTTAATATAAACTTTTCACTTTTTATTGAATCAGAAAGTTTTAGATTTAGTCAGACTTTACACCATAAAGGTTTCATCCATAATGTTTGTTGTGCCGTCAGCGGTGACGTCTGTCAGTCAGAGAGGCCGGATTCATTTAGTTCACCTCACAGACCGCAGACTGCACAAACTCTGAGTTCTACCACATGATGTATGAAGTCTGGACTGCTGATTTAAAACATGTAGCGACAGATAAAACGTCTGGTACATCTGATGTAATGATTCTTAAAATAGCATCTGCACAGATTTTTGAGTCAAATATCTGGAATAACAATGATGAAAAGGATTTCTTTCTTCTCTGTGTGAATATTTCCTAAATGTCTGATCATTGAATAAAACACAGCAGCAAACTGATACGACAAGAGATCCTCCGTATAGTGTGTTAGCTGGTTACCCTGCCATCATTAACACAACTAGAGACTGTGCACAAACTAACTGATCGTTCTCATTAAACTGAGCTCAGAGCTAACAGGCTGCAGGAAACTGACTGGACTGCAGCGGTGCGTCTGCCCCCTGCTGCTGCTCCATTCACATGACCGAGACACGTCGTCATGATCAGTCTCCAGTCATTTAGAGCACACCGAGTGGATCAGTTACATCCATCATCTGAGCTTCCTGCTCCTCCTGCTCTGTCTGTGCCACATCAAAATGAAGCGCCAGCCTGGCAAGCAAACTGGGGATCATCAAAAGGCCTGGACAAAGACATGAGAGGGAAGACGATGAGCTGCCGTCGCTATGAAATCAATGAGCAGACGTGGAATTCTGTTATCAAGAGCCTTCGTGGTTCCTTTGCTTATATTCCTAAAGGAGACGTGCATATGGCCAACTGCAATGTAAATGGCCCACATTTACAGTGTGCAGCCATCAGGGCGCCCCTATAGCTCACCTGGCTGAGCAGCGACCCATGAACAGGGCTATGGTTCCCCCATGCAGCGGTCGTGGGTTCAACTCCCGCTCATGAGCTGTTGCTGCAGGTCTCTCCCTGTTCTCCCCCCTTTCCTGTCTATCTCTACTGCTCTAAATAAAAGGCAAAAAATATATATTTTTTAAAAAAGTATGCAGCCATCTAATAATATAATATAATATAATATAATATAATATAATATAATATAATATAATCTCTACATGGAGCTGTGTAGTGTCCTGGTTCAAGCAGGAACAAGTGCTGGGAAAACACAGAAACATGTAAAGAACTACAGATTCCTAAAAGTAAGTTCCTCACTTCACACAACACAACATGTAGCTTGTAGAATGACGAGCTGTCGTAGCTGATGGCAAACTTTAACTGTTGATAAAGATTAAAACATGTTCAGGTCACACTGAGAAGTCATACCTGTGCAGTGACATGCAGTGTCTGTGCCTGTAAAGCACATTTAAAGCCCTCTTGGGGGCCCTCTGGTGGCTACAGGGGCCCTATGCAGGCACTTGGTTAATTTATGTGTCGTGATGCAGTGTGTTTGCGTACTCATTAGGATGGTAATCTACGTGTGAAAAATACGTATTAGAACAAAGAAATAAACAGTCATGAATATATAGGAAGTGTTTGTGTGTGACGTCTGTACAACCATCCAATCAGTCCATACAGTCACACTGTGGAGCCACATCCTTCACTGTAAGCGTGAAGACTTGGTGTTTAGGTGAAGTCATGTGACGTTAGCTCATCAGTAGATTGCAGTTTTTGTTATGTGAGCTCAACATAAATGTAGCTCTGTGATGATACAGAGGACATAATGGGACACTGGTTAATGACACATGAAACCCAGAGATAACGAGCACCAAAATATTCAGCTAATCTGACACCTTCAGCAGCTATCTATGCTGCAAACACCGGTACCATACCGGGTGGTTTCCAGTAAATGAATTCAGCCTCTGTTTCCATAGCAACGCTCTGCTCAGGCTTTCCTCTGCTCCTCTACACCTCCTCCTCCCTCCGTCTCACTACTATGCAGTGTCGGCAGTGCAGCGATGGAGAAGAGCGTGCAGCAGTCTCCAGCGTGGCACAATAACCTACTTCCCAACGAGCCGGGAAGTGACCCGGATGCAGAAGCAGAGAGGAGGAGGAAAAAATGGAAAAGGATGGGAGGAGGAGAGAGCAAGGAGAAGGGAGACGATGGAGGGGAAAAAAAAAAGAAAAAGGATGCAGACGGGAGAGAGAGGAGGATGGTGGAGATGCAGAGGGTATTTAAAGGGTAAAACGGGACAGAAACGAGTAGGAAGAGAAAAAGTACAAAGGAGAGATGGAAGGAGACGACACAGGAGGGAGAGAAAAGATGATGAGACAGAAAACTAACGTGAGCGATTGTAAATCTAATAAACACTGAGTCTGTGAATCTAGATAAAAACATCAATGTCCACATACAGTTATCAGCCATCATCATCCTCTAGCTGCTGTGTACAGGATGGTCCAAGATAGTCACTACAGATGAATCCAACAACAAATGTCTGCTGCTCAACACAGAATGACTTCATAGACTCAGGCATCACATCTTTGATCATCCTGAAAACCCCAGGAAGCACCACGGATCAAATGCAGCGACTCCTCTGGCGCTTACACACTTCATCTCCTGCCTGTGCTGCCCATCCCACTGCATCCCTCCTCACTGAGTGGTCCGGATGAGAGGATGGAGATTCCCTGCCTCCATTTCATCCGCTCTGCTCCCAGTCACATTTTAAACAAGGACTCACAGGTATACACACATGTATATATAGAACCTTTTTCAGTACATCTCCCACCACAGCAAGGGGCTTTTCTAAAAGAAAAAAAGAAAAGCAGCATCTCGGGGCATTTTCTAAGACACACTTTTAACAACATGAGCTCTCGTTGCTCCAAACGAAGCATCTGAAGGTGTGACAAACAGGTGAGCCGTGTGCTGACTTACCGACATGAGTGATGACACACTGCACCCGCTGTAGCAGCTCCTGAACCGACATCTCGTCCTCTCTCAGCCAGCACAGCATCTCAGGGTGTGGGTTGCATCCACTCTCCTCTCTGTGTCGCTCTCCCTCTCTCTCTTCCTCGGCTGCCACGCCTCCTCTCGTCACCCTTTCCGCCCTGACAGTCCTCCTCTGTTTGTTCCCTAATCTAATTTCCTCGCTCCAGGTTTGTTTCTCCGCCTTTCGATTTGCTGCTTCTTATTTATGGGCCTGCCTTATTTTTATTCTCCTTACACCGAGTCTCTTCTCTCCTTCATCACAACTCCCCCAGATCGAGACAGTGTCGAAGCCTGAGGATGGTAATGATGATGCCACTCCCGGCCTTTCAGCTTTATAGCAAATGTGGAAGTCAGATAATCACCTCATTAGGGAAACGCAGGTGGAAAAAAACAAACAAGGACAACAGCATATAGCTCAGCCAGTCAGTCACAGGGTCGGATAAGCAGTCCTCCAGCGCTCAGTGAAAAATGAGTTATTAATCAGGCAGTCAAAAAGGCAATAAAGCCCAGAGCCAGTCACTCAGACAGAGAACAAAAGAGGCAGTTTGTCTGTCACCCTGTCAGCCAGCGAACTCGACACTGAGCCCCTTTGTGAGTCAATTTGATCAGAGAACAAAAAAGCACCTTAATAATTAGCTTAAAATCCAATTATTCAACAAATAAAAGCACGCAGGCGGTTATCCATTCCTAGTCAAGAGGCTCCGAGCTGCCCAGTTAAAAACACAATAATCCTCACAGAAGAAAACATGTTTAAGAGACCAGGAAAAAGGAAGAAGCTTCTGTGCAAGTGAGGAGTCCACTCCACTTGTGAGGGAAACTCTTCAGGCTTAATGGGAGGAGAGCTCTGCTGCTGCTGCTGCTGCTGCTGCTGCTGCTGCTTTGATGATGCTCTGTTTGCTCTAATAAAGAAGCTGAGTCACTAAGAGAGAAAATGAATCAGAGAGCTGCTATACCTGCCTGCAGGGCGGAGGGAGAGCCACAGCTGAGGGTGGATGGATGGGTGGGGGTTAATAGGTCCAGGAGAGAAACCCTGGTGCCTGGAGCCGAGCTGTCGACGGACCGGAGCATGTAAAACACTCACAGTTAGCTTTCTGTTCAATTCAAGTTATAAGGGGGAAAAAATACATTTAAAACACTGTAATTTTCAGCTACTTAAAAGTCAATACTGTTGCTAAGCATCTGATTCACCATCATCTCAAACAAAACAAACCCTCAGCCTCCACCCATCATTCACGCTCTGCCTCCCCGGCTTCATTCACAGTCACTCAGCTGATCCTGCTCCACGTTTTGATGAAAGCAAACAATGCCAGGCCGGGGCATTAGCATCTCTCCGTGGCCATATGCTCTTGGGACCATGGAGATTGCCGTGGAGAGGACAATTACCCAGATGCATCTGCGCTCATCTTTACTCTGACACTCACTTATCTCCTCCCTGCCAGGCAATTACAGGCCGGAGACGCTCTAACAACAGTCAGCATCAATAAATGGCACAGACGGAGGCAGACAAAGCAGAGAGTAATCCAATGCAATGTCTGCTGAGTGCATCATTTTCATTCACCCATTAAACCAATATTGTGCTCAAATGTGCAGCATCACCGCACTGGGTTCACTGTGTGTCTATTCAAATTAATCCTTTATGAACATGTTTCTTTTTTAATTAACTGAACCGTTTGGAAACTAAAGTGGTGCATAAACAAACCAGAGCATGACGAGAAAAGGGGATGAAAACAGAAGACAGGACAGACGCGAAGGGGGAAGAAAGGAGAGGAGAAGAGGAAAGGAGAGGAGGATGGGAGGAGTCGTGAGTGAGGAAGTAAGGGGCAACCGCGGCCTCTGATTGGTCGCTGGGAGATGTCGTCGGCGGAACTGGCGTTCGCAGTCAGGGCGGGAAAAAGGCTGCTGCTGCTGATACACACATGAAGGCGGAATAAAGCTGCGCTGAGACGGCAGGTTGTCGGAGATATTATCACAGGGAGACATTGGAACCTACTGACACCCACCGTGGGATCTCCAGGTGAGAGTCTGTCCACGGAGCGGGTCGTTTAGAAGAGAAACACGATGCGTTCATCTGCCAAATCCACCGCTAACGACATGCTAATGCTGTTAGCTCATAGTAAACATGCTAGCACTGAGTAAGTGGACAGGCTAGGTGTGCTAATGTTAAGTGTTAAATGTCACCATGAGCAATGCTGCGCCAAAAAGGACGTACCTGCTGTGATAGAAGGTCTTTAGGTGATGTTAAACACCGACTTCCTGAACAATGAGCTGGTGTTTGGGGTTCAGTGTCACCTGTTGTGTTGTCAGGCTTGTTGGATGCTGAAACGAGCCACAGAGAACTTATCTCCGTGTTTTATTTGTAGAGAGGCTACTTTGACTGATCTAATTCAGAGACTGAGTTTACCAATTAGACACACAGTACAGAGTTTTAAAATTATAATAACTTAAAGTGTTTTGCATTAAAAAAAAAAGAGAGAATAAATGAGTTGACAAAATGGAAAATAACTGATAAAGCAAGACTGCAAAATGTAGAAGTCTATAATAAAAGTACTGAATAGATGTGACACCAGTAAATTACATGAAAGTCCATAAAAACTATGTAAACACAGCCTGAAAACATTCGTTTGAAGGTTTTGGTTGAGGTCCAGGGTGAACAGCTGATGACAGACTGTAGTGTCTTCATTTATCATAGTTCTCCAGTGAGTCTTCACATCAGTGTTAAACCAGTGAAGAGTCTTTTAAATGGGAGTAGTGCTCCCTGTATTGATGTCTGTTGGAGACCAGAGGATGTGGCGTTGGAGTCGTCAGGACTTCTTGAAATGAAAGCATGAATGCCTCTTTCAGGGTCTCTCTTGGACAGGAAAGGTTGCACGAGGGCAGTGCTGCTAGGACAGTAAAATGCATTTTGAGTCACCCTTTTATTTCCAAAGATGGATCACAACCAACACAGTCACATTTTGTGCAGCGCAGTGATGCAGACAGATGAGCTGATTGATAGCAGTCTGCAGGTCTTCTACCTAAGCCTGCACTAGGAGTCCTGTTTAGTCTCTGAAAGTCCAACAGATCGGACTCTGAGTCTCCGGTAGATATGATGCACTGTGTCTTCTAAGCAAGGGAAGCTTGACTCTGCAGCTTTGTTCTTACTGAGGGTTTGTGTACAGTGTGTCTGTTTCATCAGGTGTGTGTTTTTGAATCCCGACAGGTTTCCTCTGCTTCACCCACATCAGGAGAAGTCATGCAGGCCTTTCTGAAAGGAGCCACTGTTCAGGCAGCCCGACCTCAGAAGGACAAGGCAGCAGCCGGACCCAGCACGGAGAAGAAAGCCAGGGCGCTTCCATGGGTGGAAAAATAGTAAGTGTGCACCACAAAGGCGGGTTTACAGCACATCTGTTCTGATCAATCTAGTGGAATCTGACGCACTGAGTATACAGAAATGATTGACAGTGATGCCGTCACAGCTGCTGCTTCTATGATGAGGAAATTGTCCAGCTTCTCTTCATGTGTTTCTGTCCAGTGTGTTGGCTTTTCTTCTGTTGGCCATACAGATGTAGCCCCAGTCACTCCAGAAAGTCACATGGTTTTAATAGACAAATACGTTTTGTATCATGTTCTGCTCGTGTTTATGTAGAGAGGAAAATCAAGATTGCTTTTTATTCTGCTGTGTTACCCACATCTACCTAAATAATGAACATATGCTGTAATGGGACCATATGTTGACATCACTTAGCGGTAGAGTGTCTCTCCGAGTTATTGAGACAGTTGTACTTCTTTAAACTGATCACAGTTGTCGTGTGCAGCACGAAGGCTGAAGGCCTGTTAAATGATGTCAGAGGAGATGTAGTTTGGTGGAACATCTGCATGTAAAGAGTCGATGTCTGAAATGTTTAATTCACTATAAGAAGCGAGCAGGCCTGTCCTCCTCACCAACCTGTGTGCAGTCATGGTTCAGTACAGTTTGGTCCATCAGACAAACAGCAAATCAAAGCGTTCCTCATAACGTGGCCACTGAGTGTACACCATCCACACTGATGATGGATCACATCCTCGCAGCGTTATACCAACCGGGTCAGACTAGTGTGCGAGCCAACATGCTCAGTGGATATGACCAGGCTCTGGGTTTCTGTCCTCCAGCAGGCCCAAGTGTGTGGATGAGGTGGCCTTTCAGGAGGAGGTGGTTGCAGTGCTGAAGAAGTCTCTGGAAGGAGCAGATGTGAGTATTTATAGCCTCTCAAATTGTAAATAACACGATTGATTCTGATGTTTTAATACTTTCTGCACAACATTGGAGCTCCATGGCTCAGAGGACAAACATGTACGTTGCTCTGGACAGATGTACGTGTTAGTGAGAAGAAGTGATAGCTGGACTGGTCCACTCCCGTCCCTCCAGCCTCGTCCTCCACAACACAGTCTCACTCCACTGTGAAGACTTCTCCTCATTAAAGGGCTCTACCTCTTAATAAAATCCTTTAAATTCCCTCTCCTCACTTCGTCAGCATGGTGTCCGGTTAGCGGCTGGAACACGTTTACAGCTTTGACAATAAGAGGTTTTACAGAAATGCTCCCGCTTGTCGTCATCCTTTTATGAACCTTTATGCTGCAATAATAATAATTAATTTGTAATATTTATTAGATTATTGGGACACAGCGGTACAAGGAGCTTTATAGAGGACAGTTCTGATGAAATGACTGAGCTCAATGAAACGTGGCCATTAAACATACAGGAAACACGTCCCGGTTGTAGACGGCAGTGTTTTACTCTGTGCTGTCCTGAAAGTTGTAGGTTTACAGTCACATCTTTTACCTTATTCTGAAAACACTACTTCTCATCTGTTGAGTGCATTTTTCTTTGGTCTGTCCGTTATGTCAGGATGATGGCAACAGCAAAGCCACTTCTCTGTCTTCTGGCCTTTAGCAGGATGTATATAGTTGTAGTCGTGTTTTTAACTTTCCATGACAGACGTGTAGTTTAATACGAAGGCAGTCCCTCTGGAATGACCACATAAACACACATTTGTACTTGTGTGGAGTTTCCTGTGTTCTGACAATAGATCTAGAAGAGTGTCGTCGGTCAGCCTGTAATGAAGCCGGTAGAGTCTGGAGGGCTTCTAATATGGAGAACGTGTACATTAAATGGAGTCAGAGTTGGTTTGTTTGGGAGAAGATGTAAAGGCTGAAACAGAACCGAGCTCTTCTGTCTTCGAGCAAAGCAATGAATCCCAAAAGGCTTCGTCCCTTCACACAGTGTCCTCTTTATCAGACATCAGCTCAACATCACCGTCACTTCCTATGTTTGTTTGTTTTCCATTTTCCTTGCAGCTTCCCAACCTGCTCTTCTACGGGCCTCCTGGAACAGGAAAGACCTCCACCATCCTGGCTGCTGCCAGAGAACTGTTTGGGTGAGTGAAGTTCTGAACCTCTTGATCTTTCGCCTGTTTTCTGTCCGTGTATGAACTGGTTCTCCTCTGGTGTCTGTCCTGTAGTCCAGAGCTGTACAGGCAGAGGGTGCTGGAGCTGAACGCCTCAGACGAACGAGGCATCCAGGTCGTCAGAGAGAAGGTCAAGAACTTTGCTCAGCTCACTGTAGCTGGGAGTCGCACAGAGTGAGTCAGCACCGATCCGTCACAGGCATGCATTCAAACAGGCTGCAGCTGGGATGTTTCAGGACAGTGTCACAAACATAACTGGATTAATGAAACAGGGTTATAGTCATAGTGTTACACTGTTAGAGCTGGTTGTTGTCTAGATGAGGCTCCTTATAGCTGTAGTAATAAAATGATCAAAGGGGTTGAAAAGAAAAAGGGATTCACATCATCAGCTGTTGACCCGATTACGACCAGGACAAACAGGTTCCATACGTGAAAGTTTCCTTTAAAGCATCCAGAAACCTGCAGATGTTTAAGACACTAAAGTAAAGTGAAAATCCATCAAACATGACTCCATGCATAGCTGTTATCTCAGAATACGTTTCATAGAGGGTTCAGTAAACAGGAAAATATCTCACAACGCTGTGGCGTGAACACTCTGCTGTTTAAACGGCTCCAGTTCTATTTTATATTTTACCAGTTATACTTGCACACAGTGCTTTAAGGTACTTGACAGGTGGGTTGTCGGAGCGTGTTGGAGAACCTCCCAGGACATCTGTTGGAGAACCCTGAGTGCTGTGATGGTGCAGGAACATAACTGTCATTAAATGCCAAACTGATTTAACTTCATCTGACGTGAAGCTGTTGTGCTGTTGTTCCAGCGGGAAGCCGTGTCCTCCTTTTAAGATCATCATCCTGGACGAAGCCGACTCCATGACGGCACCGGCCCAGGCCGCCCTCAGACGGACCATGGAGAAAGAATCTCGCACCACCCGCTTCTGTCTCATCTGCAACTACATCAGCAGGTCGGCTGACTGCTAACAAGCAACAACACTCACTCTCTGTTTGACGGATCCTGACCCTGGTTCATGTCCCTTCTCTAGGATTATTGAGCCTCTGACCTCCAGATGTTCCAAGTTTCGCTTCAAACCTCTGGCCAACCAGATCCAGGAGGAGCGTCTGCTGGAGATCTGTCAAAAGGAGAACCTCAAGTACACCAAGGAGGTAGAGGAGACACAATGTGTTCCTGTCATGTGGATCCATAGAAAGCTTTTGGTCCAAAACAGGAAGAAAAAAAAGATCAATTCTTACCTTTTTGTTTTGGCCCTTATTCACCAATAATACTGTAAAACTTTAAAACGTGTTTAGACAAACTAATCAACATTTATGTTGATGTGAAGAAATAATTAATGTAAAACTAAAAAACAAACAACAAAACAAAAAAACCAAAGTCTGACCATTTTCCTTCAGAGCTGTAGTCTGGATACGTGTCAGGCTGTCTGCTGGTGTGGATGTTTGGTTATGATGAGATTTAGGACCTCACACTCACAAAAAACACATCAAATCACATTTCTGTGTTTTCCTTTGTTATTCCATCGTAACCTCTGAACTCCAGGCAGGTTCGGTGTGTTGGTGGCTCCTGTCACTGTTCAGGTTTTCTTGCATCATCTAGATGACAGGAGCGACTTCAGCCCTGTTCACTGCAGGTGATGTTAATGTCCAGCAGCTGGAAACTGCTGCTCAGATGAAACAGTCACAGAAAATCACAACCTGGAAATACCGTTAATATGAACAGTTTTTACTGTCTAAGCAGGAGAGCATTGCTGGTGCAGTTCACTTTGGTCTGAATTTTGTTGGAATAAAACAAACAAGAAGAACAAACACATGTTTCAGATGCTAGCCCTCAGAATGACGTCTACACTGGACAGCAGTTTACAGGAACCTGATTCTGTGTTGTTCATCAACACTGCCACAGGAAGGCAGCACCTTCTATTCTCCATCCAGGTGTGCTCCTTTCATTGAAGCCTGAACAGCTCCACCTGGTGGTGCAACTGGGTACTACATCACATCAGCACATTTCTGACTTATTGCACATCATTGGTCTCCAGGCTGATCAGCTGCTATGTTTTTAACTGATTAGTGCTAACAGCAGTTAATTACTTAATGAACCATAGATTCATCATAACCATCCCTCGTTAACCCCAGATCCTGAAAGTAATTCAGAGACCAAGTTATTAAGGATGAAACCTAAAAGCTTAAGACTTCAGACAGTATAGATACACAACCTGAACTAGAGAAGCTGCTCAGGTCAGCTGATTTGATCTTTTGGTTTAAAACAAACAAACTCTCACAAAGTCAACACAGGACGCGTGGCAGCCATGTTTGTCTGCTGCTGGGACGCTGAAGAGCTGCACCTGAGTTTCATCCAGCGTTGCAGAACGGGTCATAATTAATGTGTATGACTGCAGCTGAACATCTGAGCAGGTTTCATGGATGCAGATAACTTATTTTCTTGCACGGCTGCCGTTGTAAACGTGTGATGACTGTCTCTGTAGAGTATCGCAGCATTGGTGCAGGTGTCTGAGGGCGACCTAAGGAAAGCCATCACCTTCCTGCAGAGCGCTGCTCGCCTCAACGTCGACAAGGAGATCACAGAGCGCGCCATCATTGAGATAGCCGGGGTGAGCTGTTCTGTGTCTGTGTGACACCCGGAGGAGCCGATGGTGGATCATTTATTAACTGTAGCTGAAATGTTCCTCCACATCCTCCTCCTCGTAGTCCGCTCATGTCTGTCTGCTCTCCTATAGATCGTCCCCGTCAAGATGATCGACAACTTGCTCCACATCTGTTTCAGGGGAACATTTGAGAAACTGGAGGTAGCAGTCAAGGTAGGTCCTGTGACACGGCGCCGTGTCCTACAGCTGCCTTTACTTTCCTGTTAGCTGCTTCAACTGATGTTTCTCAGACTGAAATTTTCAGCCAAACATTTGAATCTTTCATCATGAAACAAAAATAAAAACTCAGTTTGGAGGCTGACTGAAGCATTACTACCAGACTACAGTGACATGAAGCTTTGCCTCGCTCGCTGTTCACCGTCACATGCTGAACGTCTGCTCTTCAGGACATCGTGGATGAAGGCTACTCAGCCACACAGGTCCTGAGTCAGCTTCACGACTCCATCATCGAGGGGGACCTGAGCGACAAGCAGAAGTCGGCCATCACAGAGAAAATGGCAGTAAGTGGTCTCTGCACCGTGTGTGTAACAAACGCTGATCATGAAGCTTGAAGCCATCGTCATCAACAGTGTTGGTTAGAAATGTAGTGGACAGTCACTACGAGGCAGCTGGTTCCAGTTTTCCACAGAACCGGGACACTTCAGCTTACACTGAAAACAACTGCAGGCGTCCTCAGATGTATTCACACCCTCCCAGTAGAGAAACTGACAGAAGTAATAATAAATGAACATGTAATGAACATCATGACGTTGCTTTTGAATTGTGCTTCAACAGAAATATTAAAAAACAAACAACAAAGCAGCCTGATGGGAGCCGTGAACTACTATCTACCTGAACAACCCTCTGAGCCAATCACTGCCATCAGGTGTTCCTGTAACTCTCAGTCAGACTTGTGCACCTGTTGACAGGTATTCTGGACCACTGCTCATCAGCAAAGGCCTCTCATTGGTCCACTGCTCATCAGCAAAGGCCTCTCATTGGTCCACTGCTCATCAGCAAAGGCCTCTCATTGGACCACTGCTCATCAGCAAAGGCCTCTCATTGGACCACTGCTCATCAGCAAAGGCCTCTCATTGGACCACTGCTCATCAGCAAAGGCCTCTATTGGTCCAGGACAGTTTTTTTTTTGTTTAATTATTCTTTTCAGCCACAGTTCAAAAGCAACGTCTTATTTCACTAAATTCTAACTTAGCACATGTTTATTTATTATGACTTTTCCAGTTTCTAGTGATGTGAGGGACTGTTGTGGATTCTGTCTTTTCCTTAACGAAGGGGATGAAGACATCTGAGGAGGACTGAACATAACCAACAGTGTTTACAGCGTGGCCTGGTGCTTATGGCCACGTTTACTGAAACCTTATGTGGCTCATTTATTGCTAACACTCTGAACTCCANAAAAAAAAGAAAAAGGATGCAGACGGGAGAGAGAGGAGGATGGTGGAGATGCAGAGGGTATTTAAAGGGTAAAACGGGACAGAAACGAGTAGGAAGAGAAAAAGTACAAAGGAGAGATGGAAGGAGACGACACAGGAGGGAGAGAAAAGATGATGAGACAGAAAACTAACGTGAGCGATTGTAAATCTAATAAACACTGAGTCTGTGAATCTAGATAAAAACATCAATGTCCACATACAGTTATCAGCCATCATCATCCTCTAGCTGCTGTGTACAGGATGGTCCAAGATAGTCACTACAGATGAATCCAACAACAAATGTCTGCTGCTCAACACAGAATGACTTCATAGACTCAGGCATCACATCTTTGATCATCCTGAAAACCCCAGGAAGCACCACGGATCAAATGCAGCGACTCCTCTGGCGCTTACACACTTCATCTCCTGCCTGTGCTGCCCATCCCACTGCATCCCTCCTCACTGAGTGGTCCGGATGAGAGGATGGAGATTCCCTGCCTCCATTTCATCCGCTCTGCTCCCAGTCACATTTTAAACAAGGACTCACAGGTATACACACATGTATATATAGAACCTTTTTCAGTACATCTCCCACCACAGCAAGGGGCTTTTCTAAAAGAAAAAAAGAAAAGCAGCATCTCGGGGCATTTTCTAAGACACACTTTTAACAACATGAGCTCTCGTTGCTCTAAACGAAGCATCTGAAGGTGTGACAAACAGGTGAGCCGTGTGCTGACTTACCGACATGAGTGATGACACACTGCACCCGCTGTAGCAGCTCCTGAACCGACATCTCGTCCTCTCTCAGCCAGCACAGCATCTCAGGGTGTGGGTTGCATCCACTCTCCTCTCTGTGTCGCTCTCCCTCTCTCTCTTCCTCGGCTGCCACGCCTCCTCTCGTCACCCTTTCCGCCCTGACAGTCCTCCTCTGTTTGTTCCCTAATCTAATTTCCTCGCTCCAGGTTTGTTTCTCCGCCTTTCGATTTGCTGCTTCTTATTTATGGGCCTGCCTTATTTTTATTCTCCTTACACCGAGTCTCTTCTCTCCTTCATCACAACTCCCCCAGATCGAGACAGTGTCGAAGCCTGAGGATGGTAATGATGATGCCACTCCCGGCCTTTCAGCTTTATAGCAAATGTGGAAGTCAGATAATCACCTCATTAGGGAAACGCAGGTGGAAAAAAACAAACAAGGACAACAGCATATAGCTCAGCCAGTCAGTCACAGGGTCAGATAAGCAGTCCTCCAGCGCTCAGTGAAAAATGAGTTATTAATCAGGCAGTCAAAAAGGCAATAAAGCCCAGAGCCAGTCACTCAGACAGAGAACAAAAGAGGCAGTTTGTCTGTCACCCTGTCAGCCAGCGAACTCGACACTGAGCCCCTTTGTGAGTCAATTTGATCAGAGAACAAAAAAGCACCTTAATAATTAGCTTAAAATCCAATTATTCAACAAATAAAAGCACGCAGGCGGTTATCCATTCCTAGTCAAGAGGCTCCGAGCTGCCCAGTTAAAAACACAATAATCCTCACAGAAGAAAACATGTTTAAGAGACCAGGAAAAAGGAAGAAGCTTCTGTGCAAGTGAGGAGTCCACTCCACTTGTGAGGGAAACTCTTCAGGCTTAATGGGAGGAGAGCTCTGCTGCTGCTGCTGCTGCTGCTGCTGCTGCTGCTTTGATGATGCTCTGTTTGCTCTAATAAAGAAGCTGAGTCACTAAGAGAGAAAATGAATCAGAGAGCTGCTATACCTGCCTGCAGGGCGGAGGGAGAGCCACAGCTGAGGGTGGATGGATGGGTGGGGGTTAATAGGTCCAGGAGAGAAACCCTGGTGCCTGGAGCCGAGCTGTCGACGGACCGGAGCATGTAAAACACTCACAGTTAGCTTTCTGTTCAATTCAAGTTATAAGGGGGAAAAAATACATTTAAAACACTGTAATTTTCAGCTACTTAAAAGTCAATACTGTTGCTAAGCATCTGATTCACCATCATCTCAAACAAAACAAACCCTCAGCCTCCACCCATCATTCACGCTCTGCCTCCCCGGCTTCATTCACAGTCACTCAGCTGATCCTGCTCCACGTTTTGATGAAAGCAAACAATGCCAGGCCGGGGCATTAGCATCTCTCCGTGGCCATATGCTCTTGGGACCATGGAGATTGCCGTGGAGAGGACAATTACCCAGATGCATCTGCGCTCATCTTTACTCTGACACTCACTTATCTCCTCCCTGCCAGGCAATTACAGGCCGGAGACGCTCTAACAACAGTCAGCATCAATAAATGGCACAGACGGAGGCAGACAAAGCAGAGAGTAATCCAATGCAATGTCTGCTGAGTGCATCATTTTCATTCACCCATTAAACCAATATTGTGCTCAAATGTGCAGCATCACCGCACTGGGTTCACTGTGTGTCTATTCAAATTAATCCTTTATGAACATGTTTCTTTTTTAATTAACTGAACCGTTTGGAAACTAAAGTGGTGCATAAACAAACCAGAGCATGACGAGAAAAGGGGATGAAAACAGAAGACAGGACAGACGCGAAGGGGGAAGAAAGGAGAGGAGACGAGGAAAGGAGAGGAGGATGGGAGGAGTCGTGAGTGAGGAAGTAAGGGGCAACCGCGGCCTCTGATTGGTCGCTGGGAGATGTCGTCGGCGGAACTGGCGTTCGCAGTCAGGGCGGGAAAAAGGCTGCTGCTGCTGATACACACATGAAGGCGGAATAAAGCTGCGCTGAGACGGCAGGTTGTCGGAGATATTATCACAGGGAGACATTGGAACCTACTGACACCCACCGTGGGATCTCCAGGTGAGAGTCTGTCCACGGAGCGGGTCGTTTAGAAGAGAAACACGATGCGTTCATCTGCCAAATCCACCGCTAACGACATGCTAATGCTGTTAGCTCATAGTAAACATGCTAGCACTGAGTAAGTGGACAGGCTAGGTGTGCTAATGTTAAGTGTTAAATGTCACCATGAGCAATGCTGCGCCAAAAAGGACGTACCTGCTGTGATAGAAGGTCTTTAGGTGATGTTAAACACCGACTTCCTGAACAATGAGCTGGTGTTTGGGGTTCAGTGTCACCTGTTGTGTTGTCAGGCTTGTTGGATGCTGAAACGAGCCACAGAGAACTTATCTCCGTGTTTTATTTGTAGAGAGGCTACTTTGACTGATCTAATTCAGAGACTGAGTTTACCAATTAGACACACAGTACAGAGTTTTAAAATTATAATAACTTAAAGTGTTTTGCATTAAAAAAAAAAGAGAGAATAAATGAGTTGACAAAATGGAAAATAACTGATAAAGCAAGACTGCAAAATGTAGAAGTCTATAATAAAAGTACTGAATAGATGTGACACCAGTAAATTACATGAAAGTCCATAAAAACTATGTAAACACAGCCTGAAAACATTCGTTTGAAGGTTTTGGTTGAGGTCCAGGGTGAACAGCTGATGACAGACTGTAGTGTCTTCATTTATCATAGTTCTCCAGTGAGTCTTCACATCAGTGTTAAACCAGTGAAGAGTCTTTTAAATGGGAGTAGTGCTCCCTGTATTGATGTCTGTTGGAGACCAGAGGATGTGGCGTTGGAGTCGTCAGGACTTCTTGAAATGAAAGCATGAATGCCTCTTTCAGGGTCTCTCTTGGACAGGAAAGGTTGCACGAGGGCAGTGCTGCTAGGACAGTAAAATGCATTTTGAGTCACCCTTTTATTTCCAAAGATGGATCACAACCAACACAGTCACATTTTGTGCAGCGCAGTGATGCAGACAGATGAGCTGATTGATAGCAGTCTGCAGGTCTTCTACCTAAGCCTGCACTAGGAGTCCTGTTTAGTCTCTGAAAGTCCAACAGATCGGACTCTGAGTCTCCGGTAGATATGATGCACTGTGTCTTCTAAGCAAGGGAAGCTTGACTCTGCAGCTTTGTTCTTACTGAGGGTTTGTGTACAGTGTGTCTGTTTCATCAGGTGTGTGTTTTTGAATCCCGACAGGTTTCCTCTGCTTCACCCACATCAGGAGAAGTCATGCAGGCCTTTCTGAAAGGAGCCACTGTTCAGGCAGCCCGACCTCAGAAGGACAAGGCAGCAGCCGGACCCAGCACGGAGAAGAAAGCCAGGGCGCTTCCATGGGTGGAAAAATAGTAAGTGTGCACCACAAAGGCGGGTTTACAGCACATCTGTTCTGATCAATCTAGTGGAATCTGACGCACTGAGTATACAGAAATGATTGACAGTGATGCCGTCACAGCTGCTGCTTCTATGATGAGGAAATTGTCCAGCTTCTCTTCATGTGTTTCTGTCCAGTGTGTTGGCTTTTCTTCTGTTGGCCATACAGATGTAGCCCCAGTCACTCCAGAAAGTCACATGGTTTTAATAGACAAATACGTTTTGTATCATGTTCTGCTCGTGTTTATGTAGAGAGGAAAATCAAGATTGCTTTTTATTCTGCTGTGTTACCCACATCTACCTAAATAATGAACATATGCTGTAATGGGACCATATGTTGACATCACTTAGCGGTAGAGTGTCTCTCCGAGTTATTGAGACAGTTGTACTTCTTTAAACTGATCACAGTTGTCGTGTGCAGCACGAAGGCTGAAGGCCTGTTAAATGATGTCAGAGGAGATGTAGTTTGGTGGAACATCTGCATGTAAAGAGTCGATGTCTGAAATGTTTAATTCACTATAAGAAGCGAGCAGGCCTGTCCTCCTCACCAACCTGTGTGCAGTCATGGTTCAGTACAGTTTGGTCCATCAGACAAACAGCAAATCAAAGCGTTCCTCATAACGTGGCCACTGAGTGTACACCATCCACACTGATGATGGATCACATCCTCGCAGCGTTATACCAACCGGGTCAGACTAGTGTGCGAGCCAACATGCTCAGTGGATATGACCAGGCTCTGGGTTTCTGTCCTCCAGCAGGCCCAAGTGTGTGGATGAGGTGGCCTTTCAGGAGGAGGTGGTTGCAGTGCTGAAGAAGTCTCTGGAAGGAGCAGATGTGAGTATTTATAGCCTCTCAAATTGTAAATAACACGATTGATTCTGATGTTTTAATACTTTCTGCACAACATTGGAGCTCCATGGCTCAGAGGACAAACATGTACGTTGCTCTGGACAGATGTACGTGTTAGTGAGAAGAAGTGATAGCTGGACTGGTCCACTCCCGTCCCTCCAGCCTCGTCCTCCACAACACAGTCTCACTCCACTGTGAAGACTTCTCCTCATTAAAGGGCTCTACCTCTTAATAAAATCCTTTAAATTCCCTCTCCTCACTTCGTCAGCATGGTGTCCGGTTAGCGGCTGGAACACGTTTACAGCTTTGACAATAAGAGGTTTTACAGAAATGCTCCCGCTTGTCGTCATCCTTTTATGAACCTTTATGCTGCAATAATAATAATTAATTTGTAATATTTATTAGATTATTGGGACACAGCGGTACAAGGAGCTTTATAGAGGACAGTTCTGATGAAATGACTGAGCTCAATGAAACGTGGCCATTAAACATACAGGAAACACGTCCCGGTTGTAGACGGCAGTGTTTTACTCTGTGCTGTCCTGAAAGTTGTAGGTTTACAGTCACATCTTTTACCTTATTCTGAAAACACTACTTCTCATCTGTTGAGTGCATTTTTCTTTGGTCTGTCCGTTATGTCAGGATGATGGCAACAGCAAAGCCACTTCTCTGTCTTCTGGCCTTTAGCAGGATGTATATAGTTGTAGTCGTGTTTTTAACTTTCCATGACAGACGTGTAGTTTAATACGAAGGCAGTCCCTCTGGAATGACCACATAAACACACATTTGTACTTGTGTGGAGTTTCCTGTGTTCTGACAATAGATCTAGAAGAGTGTCGTCGGTCAGCCTGTAATGAAGCCGGTAGAGTCTGGAGGGCTTCTAATATGGAGAACGTGTACATTAAATGGAGTCAGAGTTGGTTTGTTTGGGAGAAGATGTAAAGGCTGAAACAGAACCGAGCTCTTCTGTCTTCGAGCAAAGCAATGAATCCCAAAAGGCTTCGTCCCTTCACACAGTGTCCTCTTTATCAGACATCAGCTCAACATCACCGTCACTTCCTATGTTTGTTTGTTTTCCATTTTCCTTGCAGCTTCCCAACCTGCTCTTCTACGGGCCTCCTGGAACAGGAAAGACCTCCACCATCCTGGCTGCTGCCAGAGAACTGTTTGGGTGAGTGAAGTTCTGAACCTCTTGATCTTTCGCCTGTTTTCTGTCCGTGTATGAACTGGTTCTCCTCTGGTGTCTGTCCTGTAGTCCAGAGCTGTACAGGCAGAGGGTGCTGGAGCTGAACGCCTCAGACGAACGAGGCATCCAGGTCGTCAGAGAGAAGGTCAAGAACTTTGCTCAGCTCACTGTAGCTGGGAGTCGCACAGAGTGAGTCAGCACCGATCCGTCACAGGCATGCATTCAAACAGGCTGCAGCTGGGATGTTTCAGGACAGTGTCACAAACATAACTGGATTAATGAAACAGGGTTATAGTCATAGTGTTACACTGTTAGAGCTGGTTGTTGTCTAGATGAGGCTCCTTATAGCTGTAGTAATAAAATGATCAAAGGGGTTGAAAAGAAAAAGGGATTCACATCATCAGCTGTTGACCCGATTACGACCAGGACAAACAGGTTCCATACGTGAAAGTTTCCTTTAAAGCATCCAGAAACCTGCAGATGTTTAAGACACTAAAGTAAAGTGAAAATCCATCAAACATGACTCCATGCATAGCTGTTATCTCAGAATACGTTTCATAGAGGGTTCAGTAAACAGGAAAATATCTCACAACGCTGTGGCGTGAACACTCTGCTGTTTAAACGGCTCCAGTTCTATTTTATATTTTACCAGTTATACTTGCACACAGTGCTTTAAGGTACTTGACAGGTGGGTTGTCGGAGCGTGTTGGAGAACCTCCCAGGACATCTGTTGGAGAACCCTGAGTGCTGTGATGGTGCAGGAACATAACTGTCATTAAATGCCAAACTGATTTAACTTCATCTGACGTGAAGCTGTTGTGCTGTTGTTCCAGCGGGAAGCCGTGTCCTCCTTTTAAGATCATCATCCTGGACGAAGCCGACTCCATGACGGCACCGGCCCAGGCCGCCCTCAGACGGACCATGGAGAAAGAATCTCGCACCACCCGCTTCTGTCTCATCTGCAACTACATCAGCAGGTCGGCTGACTGCTAACAAGCAACAACACTCACTCTCTGTTTGACGGATCCTGACCCTGGTTCATGTCCCTTCTCTAGGATTATTGAGCCTCTGACCTCCAGATGTTCCAAGTTTCGCTTCAAACCTCTGGCCAACCAGATCCAGGAGGAGCGTCTGCTGGAGATCTGTCAAAAGGAGAACCTCAAGTACACCAAGGAGGTAGAGGAGACACAATGTGTTCCTGTCATGTGGATCCATAGAAAGCTTTTGGTCCAAAACAGGAAGAAAAAAAAGATCAATTCTTACCTTTTTGTTTTGGCCCTTATTCACCAATAATACTGTAAAACTTTAAAACGTGTTTAGACAAACTAATCAACATTTATGTTGATGTGAAGAAATAATTAATGTAAAACTAAAAAACAAACAACAAAACAAAAAAACCAAAGTCTGACCATTTTCCTTCAGAGCTGTAGTCTGGATACGTGTCAGGCTGTCTGCTGGTGTGGATGTTTGGTTATGATGAGATTTAGGACCTCACACTCACAAAAAACACATCAAATCACATTTCTGTGTTTTCCTTTGTTATTCCATCGTAACCTCTGAACTCCAGGCAGGTTCGGTGTGTTGGTGGCTCCTGTCACTGTTCAGGTTTTCTTGCATCATCTAGATGACAGGAGCGACTTCAGCCCTGTTCACTGCAGGTGATGTTAATGTCCAGCAGCTGGAAACTGCTGCTCAGATGAAACAGTCACAGAAAATCACAACCTGGAAATACCGTTAATATGAACAGTTTTTACTGTCTAAGCAGGAGAGCATTGCTGGTGCAGTTCACTTTGGTCTGAATTTTGTTGGAATAAAACAAACAAGAAGAACAAACACATGTTTCAGATGCTAGCCCTCAGAATGACGTCTACACTGGACAGCAGTTTACAGGAACCTGATTCTGTGTTGTTCATCAACACTGCCACAGGAAGGCAGCACCTTCTATTCTCCATCCAGGTGTGCTCCTTTCATTGAAGCCTGAACAGCTCCACCTGGTGGTGCAACTGGGTACTACATCACATCAGCACATTTCTGACTTATTGCACATCATTGGTCTCCAGGCTGATCAGCTGCTATGTTTTTAACTGATTAGTGCTAACAGCAGTTAATTACTTAATGAACCATAGATTCATCATAACCATCCCTCGTTAACCCCAGATCCTGAAAGTAATTCAGAGACCAAGTTATTAAGGATGAAACCTAAAAGCTTAAGACTTCAGACAGTATAGATACACAACCTGAACTAGAGAAGCTGCTCAGGTCAGCTGATTTGATCTTTTGGTTTAAAACAAACAAACTCTCACAAAGTCAACACAGGACGCGTGGCAGCCATGTTTGTCTGCTGCTGGGACGCTGAAGAGCTGCACCTGAGTTTCATCCAGCGTTGCAGAACGGGTCATAATTAATGTGTATGACTGCAGCTGAACATCTGAGCAGGTTTCATGGATGCAGATAACTTATTTTCTTGCACGGCTGCCGTTGTAAACGTGTGATGACTGTCTCTGTAGAGTATCGCAGCATTGGTGCAGGTGTCTGAGGGCGACCTAAGGAAAGCCATCACCTTCCTGCAGAGCGCTGCTCGCCTCAACGTCGACAAGGAGATCACAGAGCGCGCCATCATTGAGATAGCCGGGGTGAGCTGTTCTGTGTCTGTGTGACACCCGGAGGAGCCGATGGTGGATCATTTATTAACTGTAGCTGAAATGTTCCTCCACATCCTCCTCCTCGTAGTCCGCTCATGTCTGTCTGCTCTCCTATAGATCGTCCCCGTCAAGATGATCGACAACTTGCTCCACATCTGTTTCAGGGGAACATTTGAGAAACTGGAGGTAGCAGTCAAGGTAGGTCCTGTGACACGGCGCCGTGTCCTACAGCTGCCTTTACTTTCCTGTTAGCTGCTTCAACTGATGTTTCTCAGACTGAAATTTTCAGCCAAACATTTGAATCTTTCATCATGAAACAAAAATAAAAACTCAGTTTGGAGGCTGACTGAAGCATTACTACCAGACTACAGTGACATGAAGCTTTGCCTCGCTCGCTGTTCACCGTCACATGCTGAACGTCTGCTCTTCAGGACATCGTGGATGAAGGCTACTCAGCCACACAGGTCCTGAGTCAGCTTCACGACTCCATCATCGAGGGGGACCTGAGCGACAAGCAGAAGTCGGCCATCACAGAGAAAATGGCAGTAAGTGGTCTCTGCACTGTGTGTGTGACAAACGCTGATCATGAAGCTTGAAGCCATCGTCATCAACAGTGTTGGTTAGAAATGTAGTGGACAGTCACTACGAGGCAGCTGGTTCCAGTTTTCCACAGAACCGGGACACTTCAGCTTACACTGACTTTATGTTGGAAAACAACTGCAGGCGTCCTCAGATGTATTCACACCCTCCCAGTAGAGAAACTGACAGAAGTAATAATAAATGAACATGTAATGAACATCATGACGTTGCTTTTGAATTGTGCTTCAACAGAAATATTAAAAAACAAACAACAAAGCAGCCTGATGGGAGCCGTGAACTACTATCTACCTGAACAACCCTCTGAGCCAATCACTGCCATCAGGTGTTCCTGTAACTCTCAGTCAGACTTGTGCACCTGTTGACAGGTGTTCTGGACCACTGCTCATCAGCAAAGGCCTCTCATTGGTCCACTGCTCATCAGCAAAGGCCTCTCATTGGTCCACTGCTCATCAGCAAAGGCCTCTCATTGGACCACTGCTCATCAGCAAAGGCCTCTCATTGGACCACTGCTCATCAGCAAAGGCCTCTCATTGGACCACTGCTCATCAGCAAAGGCCTCTATTGGTCCAGGACAGTTTTTTTTTTGTTTAATTATTCTTTTCAGCCACAGTTCAAAAGCAACGTCTTATTTCACTAAATTCTAACTTAGCACATGTTTATTTATTATGACTTTTCCAGTTTCTAGTGATGTGAGGGACTGTTGTGGATTCTGTCTTTTCCTTAACGAAGGGGATGAAGACATCTGAGGAGGACTGAACATAACCAACAGTGTTTACAGCGTGGCCTGGTGCTTATGGCCACGTTTACTGAAACCTTATGTGGCTCATTTATTGCTAACACTCTGAACTCCAGCAGTTTCTACTTTTGTTTTTGTTGTTTTTTCTTTCTTTGCTTCTGTCAAATAGTTTCTCACTGTGGGCTCATTTTTCACTAAAATAAAAAGTCCTTGGATGCTGTGGAACCAGAACACAACCATGGATCAGTGTAGAGAGGACTTAGTGTCTTCTGTGCTGTAATAGATGATAAATCCTAACAAATCAAAGTTGAATGTCCAAAACAAAACAAACCTTAGATCAACAACAGGCTTTACCAGCGCTGAGCTAGAAGATGACTCTACGTCTGTATGAACTTCTCACAGCAGCCCTCTGTCTGTGCTTGTTTCCTGTCTGGTCCAGGTTGTGAGTAAGTGTCTGTCAGACGGAGCCGACGAGTACCTGCAGATGCTGAGCCTGTGTTCGGTCATCATGCAGCAGGCCTCGGAGAACTGAAGCTCTGCAGATCTACAGCTCGTCCATAAACCATCTGCTTCCATCAGGACCAGCGGCCGGAGACATCAGCAGCTCGCTCTGATCCACACTGACGGGAGCTGGTTCAGTGTTTGGACTTCCTGCCTGTGGAGACCAGATGATGATGATGTTTATAGTCATGTCCCTCCACTTCAGCAGCACTGCAACACCTCACTGACCGACATGTTGAACACTTTTCTTAGTTTTGGAGAGTAATAAATAGTTTTTTGTATCTTTTCAGTGTTTGTGTCCTTGAAGCTCATTACTGGGACATCCACAGCAAGAGATGAATAATCGTACATCTGGGCCGCTGCTACAGCTCACCTGGTGGAGCTGGTGACCCATGTACAGGGGCTATAGTCTCCAACGCAGCGGCCGTGGGTTTGAATCCCGCTCATGGCCCTTTGCTGCAACCCCGTCCTCCTCCCCACTGTCCTGTCTGTCTTTCAACTGTCCTGTGTAATAAAGGCAGAAACAACAAACTATAAATGTACATCTGTTGATATCAGAATGATGGAAGTGTGGAGAGAAGAGACCTCAAAGCCATCTCACCTCAAACTGTTCTGACTTCATCGTGTCAGTCACTGGAACTGGCAACCAGCACTTCATAGTGAGGCGATGAAAACAGGTCATTGTATCTCAGATCTGAGGTCTGAACCAGGTGCTGCTGGAGCTGAGCTGGCCTCCCATCACCACAGCAGGCTGCAGGTTTTATAGCAGCGACGTTACTGCCCTACACTCATTGTTGTTCCATATCATCCTA